TTGAACCATTTTATTTCATATTTTCGTGCACCTAAGATTCGGACCGATTGAAATGAGCACGGAATACCATCCGGACAGTCTGGTAATCGACTGGCCGTCCGGGGATGTCGTGCGCGACCTGTCGACCCTTTATTTTTTTCTTTTTGCTTGTACGATTTATTTGTATATATATACACCTTCAATATCCAATAGAGCTAGGTCACTTGCGTTACTTCTATCCAAGTCTCCCTAGTCGCTTACTGTAACTGATTTAGAACCAGCATGCACTGCACATTATTCTTCGCATTGAAAAATGACATATGCATGCGTCAGGAACTTCTATTCGAACAAACCTCACCTGCCGTCCGGAATTTTTCATTACTTATTCTGTGACGAAACTGAATTTTAGTCTTTTAAATTGAGATACCTAAATAAGGGGGGCGAAATTTTCCTCCGCCCCGGACGGCTGACACCCACGCTACGCCACTGCCCACACACAGTTTTAAATTTTGCCAGGAAAGTTAAGCAACTCATTGCTGGATTTTTTAAAGTAAAGATCGCACAACATTTTATGTTGTTCTAAATATTTATTTTTTACTTTATTAAATTGATTACCGTATTTTCGGGGAATGACTGGTATGGTAAAAGCCTGCATACATCCCTATCTAGAAGGTGCATTAAAAAAACGAACGAGTTTTTATTCTAAAACTGTGAAATTGTCAACATTACATCAAAAACTACGATAATACGTTTAATTTCTTTATTTTGTCTCCTTTGTAACGACGTAAAACACTCTTGGAATTCCGAAAGTGCTTTTTTTATGTATATTTTATTGTTATTTGATTCAAAAACGCAAAAATAAACATATTAAATTTAAGAAACTCGCCGTACAATATCTCAGTTACACTGATGAACGTCGGCTTTGTATGAAATTTGAGAGGAAGGTGTTATTTTTAAGGTCGGGGTAGATGGTCAGTATATCCCACACTGACTAACTACTACTGTTAATAATTAATTGTTTTATTGTCCTGTAAACGAAAACGCTCTTCCTGATTTTAAGTCAGTCAATACAATGTTATTATTTTATTATACTCGGAAGAATGTTTTCTATAACGTTTAGTTAACAACTAGTTTTGTTAGATATGATTAATTTTATATTTTAGTCTCAGTTTAACCGGTATGCCGGGTTTCCAACGGGGTTTCCAGCATGCTGGTCTTCCCCGTTTTTATGCGACATGCCGATCATTCCGCGAAAATGCGGTTTAATGCGCAAGTGTTCTTGAAAGATATATAAATACAGTATATATATATTATTTTTTAAACATGGCGAATTACTCATTTATTAATCCTTGATGTAATCACTAGGATCCACTAAATTTCATCTTTTTTTTCCATTTTCATTTAAAAAAATAGAGAAATTCGATCAGATATTAATTAAATGTTGCTAGCGTGCACACAGGAAAAAAAACTCATTTGTTATTTCTCTTCCCCCTCTGTCTCTTCTTTTTTTGCTTGTCTTCTGATATATGATACGTGTGTCAGAGATTGCAATAACCACTTATTGGGCTACTTGCTATAAATTGCTTGTCTGTTCAGACAAAACTTCTACAACACCCATTATTACTATTAATTGAAACTACAAGTTACCTTGTCTAGATATATACGAATACAGCAAAACCTGTTCATAACGGAAACTTGTCCTACCGGAAAGAAACATTCAGTACTGTACGTTCCGCTTTACACAGGTTTTACTTTATATGAATTATTTTGGAAGATTTACCTTTATGTTAGTGATACTTTCAGAATAATTCGATTTTCTAAAATTAATTTTTAGAAATTTTCTAACTTGCTCACCAAGAATTGGGTATTTAACGAGTATTTTCTAGTCTAAAAACAGTAGAAGTTCAAAAAAATGGGAGTTACAGTAGAGCGTCGTTTATCCGAAAGCTGGTTATCCGAAACGTCCGTNATATGCAAACGCAAATTTTTATTTTTATTTTTAAAAAATAAAATAAATTTCAGTCTGTCACCGGAAAGCACAAGGGACTTCTTTCGTATTTCGAGTTTTACATAACTCGGGAATGATTAATAAAATATTACTGCTATATCTTTTCCTGATAAACCAAAATCACAAAAGCCATATAATATTTAGGAAAGAAAAAAAAAGAAAATAAAACAAATAACTAAATAATGAAAAAAATGAAAAAATAAACCACTATAGCTGCATTGGCTCTCCAGCCTCATAAGGCTCTTCTAGACCCTTATTGCAGCTCCCAGACACTTACAGCAAGTTGGAGCGAAATGGATCAGATTCAGCAATATCATTTAGAAAATACAGCAGAGAAAATTAAATTAACTGCATTTGAAAAAGTATCACAACTAGTGGCTGAAAGACCATAACTTTCAAACGCGTAAGTTTATTGACAATGATGATATTGACATTTCAAAAAACTGGCAAACTATCTGTTCCAACCTTGCATTGTGGTGAATTATACTCAATTTTCATGTGGAATGAAATGCATTTCAATTATGATAAGCGAACTAATTAAACATAAACACATCAAAACAAACTCACTATATTAAAATAATTTAAGAACAATTTTTACACGATGGATATGGAAAAGGCCATGTTATTGATCGCAAAGCAGAGACAAAAATAAAATTAAGAACCCTGTTTCTTATCATCGTTGCGTAACTAAGTGATCTTGGGATTCTGGTTTCTTAGACTGGTCTCAAAGAATTTCACTTTAGTTTTTATTATTTCGGAAATTTCTTGGCATTCTGGGGAGCCGAGACACTGACGTCTTGGCTTCCCAGAAGTAACTCTACTGATTACCTGACCGGATTCATTGTGGATTAGGCCCTGTCTATATGAGCATAATTTGAGACCAGCCATATAATCTAGTTGTAGTAATACCATATTAGACTAAATCTATTCTTGAATTTTGAAAAATTAAAATTTACAGTGTAAAAGTAACGAGTTAAAATGAAAAGAACATGATAACCGATGAAAAAACAGACAAATGAAAACATCGTTTTGGATAGTGTACGTTCGTGATTTTAATAATGCAAACAGATGGTCATTATCGTTTTCATACAGCTTCTGTGGATAAATTTTTATAAATTTTAATGATTCATTTCATCCCATATGCAATGCATTTTAGTTGTTTCCTATTGCCATATTAGGCCTATCATAGCATAATATCGTTGAAAATCTCTCTACTTTTGCTTAATAAATGATCTGTATTCTTATATGTAACCATAAGCCTAATAATTCACTATTATTAGTGCTGATGAGACGAAGTGTTCGCGTATTGTCGTCGCTCATGTACAGACTGTTCCCCCTCCCCCGAGTAATTTTTTTACTAACTTCCATAAACTTTAATGAAGCAAGTGGGGACAAGACAAAAATTAAAAGTCTTAAAATATGACTGTACAAACTTAGCTTGATCCATTTCATACCAACTTACCCTAAGCAATTTCTTTTTATAATCTTGAGACACGCAAAAATATTACATATCTGTAAGTAGTAACTTCTCTACAACAGTATTATGCAATATGATGGATTGTAAGCGTAACTCACAACTTAACCTTGGACAGGCAAAGGAGTGCTAAGTGTGTGTTTGTATGAACTGAATTTTAAACAGTTAGTGTCTCAGCTACAAACCTACTCTCTCCAGAGAGAAATTTTGAGGGTTAAGACTTGTTTCTTTGACTTAGACTTCTGAAAATGTTCTCAGATTCGTTTCGTACTTTAAAAAATCTATCTGAAGACCATACAATTATATCTAACGATCTGAAAATTGTCGGATAGTTTCAAATCATTATATTACAGTATTAAATATTATAAGCTTTAGTTTTAAATGAAATGAAATTATAAAAATTTTTGAAACACATTAATCATTATTCAGTTCATGGAATATAAAGAAAGATGTTTCATTACTTTCTAGTATTATTAAATAATTTTAGTTTCTTTTGAAATTTTCTTTAAAATGGCAATTACAATAGAAATCTTATAACTTATGGCATAATTTCAGATTTAGATTATAAAAACAAAAGAACACATTTTTTCGTTCACATAATATATCGGTGCATAGATTATAAAAGAATATCATTATTATTTGACAACTATTTTCTCTAGAATGTCCTGTATCTTTGTCTCAGAGGCAGTTCTTTCATAAGAAGAATTAAGGTTTTCGCGCAAGAACTATAATTTCATTTGGTAGTAGTTGAAATTCCCATTTTTACATAAGCTGCTTAAATTTTAATTAATTCTATCATTACTTTTCTAAATAATATTGACTAATGTTTTTGAAGTTTTCATTCTCCAATTAAATTTAGGTGATATGATTTATATTTAGACATAAGTGTCTTCATCAGCATGAGGTTGGACAGAATTGAAAATTACAGTGATTGAATTCTTAGCCTAAACATGAATTATCAAGTGAGTTCCGTATTTCCTTGATCATTAACACTTATGAAGATTTTTTTTTATGTAAGTTCAAAATCAGCCTAAAATTCTCCCTGTTTTTTTAATACCATTCTTTATAACTTAATATTAGGCCTATTAAATTTAATACGTATTTTATGTTTATATAAAATTTTATTTATAATTAAAAATATTCATTTTAAAGGAAATTTATAAAATTGAAAAATTTTTCATACATGATCTATATCCAGTTTTGTGCCTCATAATCCGGCGGTCTTGTTGCGTAATGGCCATGAATAAAAATGATCTCTTAATGTCCACAGATTGGGAAAAGTAAAACGTTAGATGATGAAATTAAAAAGAAAAAACAAAAAACAAAATACTATATTTAAAATCATTTATTTCACGTTAAAATTACACAAATTTTTAAAACTTTTGCAAATACTTTACAAAAGGTAAAGTATTTAAATCAATCCACATAATAAACTTGAGATTTCATTTCTAGATTAAAAAAAAAGTATATTCAATATTTTCTACATAAAATTTTATTTAAACATTCTTGTAATGAAAACTCACTTACGATTCGAAACAATTACCATCCGCCATAAAGTCCATGTCCGCCATAAAATCCCCCGTAGCCTCCTCCTAAAACTCCATGGCCTAATCCAAGCAATGGTTTAGAATAGACAGAATATGATACCACAGGTTTATATGCATAGCCGTATCCAAGACCGTGACCACCATAGCCTAATCCATAACCGCCTAATCCATAACCACCTAATCCGTAACCTAATCCATCGCCTAATCCAAGATATCCAGCAGAAACCGAAGCAATTACAGCCACCAAGAGCAAAACCTGTGGAAAGAACAACGAGTATTACATTTTAATTACTGGAAATATGATTTTTTCCAATCACTTACCACGGCTTTCATAGTTGATGTTGAGTTAGATTGTGAGCTTGTGAAGAACTTCGAAAATTTTGTGTTATGATTTTCAATGGAGTCTTTTCGATTTATATAGTAAAGAAGAACCTTGAAAATAGGGCAGCATTTAGCCTCTGGGGAATGTCGGATACACCCTTTTTTGCTTGTTACTACTGTCAATATTGGTGATAGGGTTAAAGTATATTGGAAGTGAAAGTTTCCTTCGTCCTCAATTTTCGCTCGAGTTATTTTTCATGTTTTACTTTCTTATTGTTGCTATAAATAACTTTAGTCACTTTCTATAGTAATTTTACTATAAATAAACGATTACCATAATAATTTAATTAATTTCTTGTTTCACAGATCAACTTTTTAAACTTATATCTATCAGATCTATCCCAATATTAAAATAAATCAATTATATATTAAAAAAACCCGCTTAATTTATAAAAAATGTAAAGAACTATAAAGCTATTCTAATTAAAATTTTGTTAAGGCTGCGTTAGCAATAATTATTTTTTCTCAATCTCTACTAATTTCTATACAATAGGACATAGCCTAAATGATAGAAAATTTGAAAATTCTCTGCCAATTGCAATTAATTGTGTATTTTTTTTTCCGGATAATTTCCGGGAATCCACGTTCAAAAAGAAGAGGCACAAGAAGGGAAAAAAATTTGTAAGTTCACACAATTAAAAACTTGCCTTAAGGAAGGGCGAAACAAAGAACATCAAAATTAAAGAGTAGGAAAAGTTCAAAATAATCAAATTTTAAAATATAATTACATGTTTTCTTTATGATCTTAATACAAAATATATTACTCTTTGCATTCTATGTATTTATTATACAAATTAAAATATCCCAAAGCTTTTTCGTAACTTTTTACCATATAATACTCTTACGATATTCTTCATATTTTTTTTTTTTGCATTATTCATGCATTTTTTTTCATTATATTTATAAAATTAATATAAGCTTCCTTAAACCTGCAACTATTTTTGTCATAATTACATTAAAGACCTAATTTTTAGGACGTCAGTTAGTTTGATAGGAATTACCATAATTAGACTTATTTAGAATATTTTTAAGTAAATAAAACATTTTATTTAAAAAAAAAAATATGTATAAAAGAAAGTAATCATTTTATTTCATCTCATTTATATTCACATTATCACCTTATCTTAATTGAAAAGGGTACGATCATACTTGTATAAAAGTCGTAATTAGCACCTACAGCTGCTCTAATTGATTATTATACCATATTTTAATTCATTTTGCATCCTTCCTCGAGGAAAATTTGTCACAAAACACTTGTTAATACAACAAATGCAAATAGGTTCTACGTGACATTGTTATACAAAGAGGTTCTCTGAGCTAATTCATTTTTGATTTGTAAAAATAGAAGATAGTTAAATTTCTTTGCATTTGCTTAAATTATAAATAGATTTCAAATCCTTGTAAATCTTTTGTAAGGTAATTTATTTTTAAAATAAAAAAGAAAGGAAATTTGAATAGTCTCTACAACTGAATATAAATTATAAAATTATTTATCGTCGGCTTTTTAACTTTTAAATTTATGTAGTTAAATTTACTTTGTAAAAGATTTAAAGGATTATAAGTAAACTCTGACTTATTTTCCTCTAAATAACGTTAAACTGTTAACATAAAAGATATTATTAATAGTTCTTATTTTTGATTATGTTGCATGGAGTAGTTCCATTCATAATCCTTTTTAATAAGGTCAAATGACCATGTATAAGAAAATAGGTCAAGTTATCCTGTTTTGAGCCTCTCTCTTTTAATGTTTACTCCGATCACTTAACAATTTAACCAGTTAAACTGATCCTTGCAACAGATATTTTTAATCTTTATCATGAGAATATGTTTAAAATTACTAGAAATTTAATTAAATATTAATATACTTTTATGTATAAGTTTTAATGCAATTTAAAGCGTAAGTTTTAATAAATAAAAACTGTATTTGTAAATATGAATTTATTAAAAATATTAAGTGAAGACTGTGTTTATAAAAAATATTAAATAAATAATGTGTCTATAAATATTAAAAATATAGATTGTAAGAAATACAGAATATTATATAAATTTTCTATATTTTCTCTTATTTTTTATCATTTAAGAATAAAATTTTTGTTAGAAAAACTTTTTTGATTACTTAAAACATATTGAAAATAAACAAAAGGAAAAAATTCAATTAACAAATCCAGTTAATTTACTTTAATTAAATTAAAGGATTAAATTGTAAAATGTCAAAATGCCATAAAGAGGAACGAAAAAAGGAAAAAAATAATAATAGTGAAAAGAAAAAGGGTTTTATTATGTCTGAGAATGTTCTATTCAATAGACAATATTTTTTTTTATTTTTCTAATTTAAAGAATGTATTCTAAAGACATTTTTTAAACATGACTGAAGACGTAAGGAGTCATTTCGCAACAGCATTTTGTACAAGTTAATAGTTATTTTTATAGTTCGAACAGGAAGAAAAAAAAAAAAACACAAAACTTGATCGTTAATTAAATAATTAAGTAATTTTTTAATAATTTTATAATACAAATTTTATGTATCTATCATGATAATAGGTATTAATAGATATTAGTAATTATAAAGTGTTATATTTTTCTTTACAGCAAAAATTTCTCGGTATAATTTCCTATACAATTTCACTGGAATGCTCTATTTCTATTAATTTCTTATATTAAATAACTTAAATAATATAAAATAAATTATATTTACAAAAAAAATTTACTGTAACGTAATATGAATATTTATTTTTCTATTTGAATTATTTTTCTGTTCAGATAAAACTCAACAACAGTATTATTTTTAAATAATAATTAATAAAATAAAAAGTATATTCATAAATTTTGAAAAAGCGCCTGAAAAATCAAATTTAATTAGTACTAGAATCTAAAAATAATATTCAATCTTTCTTTTATTCCTAAATAGAACATGACTCATAAGCATTTTTCATATAAGTTGTTATAAAATGAATTTTACAGCATCTCAAAAAAACTTTTTAAATTAGCCTATACATAAATTCTTTATTGATAAAAAAAAATATTATAACTACTTTAAAAAACGTGTCACAAATTCCATCTCATATAAGTAGTGATATACAGCAACGGCCGGATGGCCGAGCAGCTAATATGGCTGCTTACTACTCTGGAGATCCGGAGTTGAATCCAAACGTTAAAATGCCCAGAAATATTTCGCACCGGACCGTCTAGATCCATCCCTCACCATCCGGTAGCCCCATTATGGGCCTAACTGAATCCATATGCCACTTAGTGCCCATGCATGGCTATTTGGGCATTAAGAGGGCTAAAAAGAGGTCCTCTTAGTGCCCAAAGAGCGGAGTTTTAAAAAATTAGTGATATAGTAGATAAATTTATTTTATTTTTTAAGGTAGGAGTTTTTAAAGATTAACGTTAATTAACTACTAAATGATATTTGATTAAGTTGCATTAAACAAAGGAATTGTTTTATTTTTGTTTTTCTAGTTAGAATTAGGGTCAAATTCAAATCCATTCTTACTTAAATAAAATTAAAATATAATTCACGATTAACCCAAAAAGCTAGAAATTTTAATCATTGATTGTGCCAAGGACTGTGATGTTTATCTTTATTCAGTCAAGATTAATGAGGCAAAAGTTTATGAAAAGAGAGACGAATAATAGAATAAATATTAAATGAAAATTACTTCATCATTTTCGAATTCCATTGTAATCATATTCCCAAAGGCTATAAACACATTTAAATGTAAAATTTGAAAATAAAATGACATTGTTTATAAGAAAAAAATAACTTTATGAATATATTAACAAATATTTTATCGAAATAATAGACTAGTATTCATAAAGAAAATAGTTTAAAATAAATTTTTAATAATATAGAATATTATTTTAAAATAATAATATAAATAAATGTCATCATAATAATTGATAAAGTAATAAAATCTGATTTAGTGCTACATACTGTACCAGTGTATAACTCCAAATATGCATACATACTGCACGGTACATCTATGTTCACAACATATATAATAATTATAGTAAAATAATTATGTAAGAGGACATTTTGGTGGATCCAGTTGTAATTAACTTTATCGAGAAATAAAAAATTAAAAGAATAAAAATTTAAATTTAAAGTCTGATTAATGAGTATACTTATATATCTTTTTATATATTTTTAGTTATGTCAGAAACTCTTATATACAATTATTATTGCATTAGTGTTTGTATTCTGTATTATTAATAAAAGTTTTAAGTCACATTATTTAAAATTTCTTTAGAAACAACTTATTTAAATGGACCAAATTTAAATTTTGTCTAGGCCCGCTAGAGGCTTAATCCGGCATTGCCTATAATCAAAACAAAAAAGCTTCTTGATATACATATATACTCAATTCTTTATTCAAAGGAAAATAATTCAATTCGCTTTTTACTCAATTTGTTTTGATTCAACATGGTTCAAGAAATTGGCTTTTCTAAAACCTTCATTTGATTTTAATTCTAAGAAAAAATATTTACTTTCTTCTCTAGAAAATTGTTATTTATTTATTATTATTTTTTTTAAAGAAAACTTCCTAGAATTTATATTTCAGGCTCAAGCAAATTTTAAGATTTTGCTATTTTTACGAGTTATTTGAACATTTACAGCGACAAAGTCTTTCTTTCCGACTTTATCTTGCGATTGAAGAAGTCAGAATAAATTTAATTCGAAGTTTGACGATTAATTTGTATGATTGTATGTCTTTCAATACGAACCCATCAGCAGGGATGCCCAGGAGAACAAAACGAGTAAATTGTCCTGGTTCCCAAAGAAATAGGGGTCTCTATACAATGTCGATAAATAAAAAACAAAGTCGAAAAATAGTTACGAACTAAATTTTAAATTTTATAAAAATTTTAACTACATTAAAAAGGTATTAAATATTTTGTATTGGGGCACGTGTATCGATTTAATTTTATCTTTTATCGTTTACTACGTT